CATATTTGAGAGAAGCAAAATCAGGATGATGTGTAACTTCCTATGGCCACAGTGCAGCAGCTGTTTCAACCTATCAACTCTTGGCCCCTCCTTGCCTCTTGAGAAGGGTGTGGGACCACTACATCAATAAAACCAGGTTTGCAGATAACTTCTCCAGTCAATGTCACCCTCTCCAAAGAAACCCTCACAAGAACAGGCACAAGGACAACAATTTACAATAAGCAATGGTCCATATATCCATGGCACTGCCTTCGTCAACACTGTGAATTTCATTCTAATGTTTTCAGCAGTGCACATGTAGTTTCTATCACACAGCTGACTCTTATAGGAGTATCTAATCACTGTGTAAGGGTGCTATGAAAATGGAAATAATCTCAGAGCATACTTAGAAAAAACCCTGAACACACAAAATCAAAGGAAAGGTCAATAAATTCTCAAACTGAGAATCATCAATGTATTGTGCTAAATATTCATGGTTTTCAAGGTCAATGTTTTCCCTGGCATTTCCGATAATAATATGAGCTATACAAAACTAAATGTGTGAAATGGACATAATCCCAAAATGCATTGATGCACATCAATTAAAAAAAAAAAAGAGTAAAGACATCATAATTGTTTTAAATGGCTTCTGTTTCTAACCTTGCTTACTCACTGCCCTCTGAGTGCCTGTTAAAATAAGGGAGCAGGTCATTCAGCAGCAAAAGCAATTATAAAATGCAAATGACTGAGCATTTATTGTCAAGATTGGCTATATAAAAAAGGTCTGATAATAACATGTTCCCAAGTAGATGACATAATTAGATGTTTGTATCATAAACAATGGGAAATAATACAAGCCTTTAGCATTTTCAGAAAGGCTGCAATTAAACAATAGGTAAGCATTGCAACACAAATTTTATTAAAAAGTGACAATTAAATTTCCCTCTCGGAAATTAAAAGGCACCATCTTGTGGTTGCTCTGCAAGAATGCAGTCAGGTCAACCTCTGACCTACCATCTCCTCCTCCCCTTTCCCACTGGAAAGCACTAACTGGAATATCAACATTCATGGAAAAGAATATGTGCTCTGCCATTCCCAGCATTTCTCTGAAGGAAACAGTGAGACTATGTATTAGGCAACACTAAAAGAGGTATCCAGTCCAAAACACACACTAGGTTATGGCATTATTAAAACATGTGTGTGAGGTAGAAAATTCAGAATTAGTAGCAATCACAGCAAAACCACATTTAATTTCTAATAAGATCAAATTGCACCATAACCTAAAGACACTGCAGCTCATCAAAGCTGCATGAATTTTTTAGCCAGTTAGGGTCAGAAAATCTTGTTCCTTCTATCCTTACATTATAAAAACATGTTTTGGACATTTTGCAGAAAGTGTTTTAAATTATTGTATTCAATTCATTTCAAGCAAGAGTCATCCAGATAAATTTGTGCCATCTCCAAAGACATAGTTAATCTCATATACAGGTCACAGCTCAGCATTCAGAATTTCTTGTTCCATGGAATCTGTAGTTGTAAGTAAAACAGTTCTGTATGTAACATGTGTATATTCCTAGCTACTGATCTCTGCTTTGGGCCCAGTTCTGCCAAGAGATCAGTCATTGTGTCTTCTGAAATAAATTATCCACACTGATCTTTCTCGACTCAGTTGTGCAGCTGAGCAGTGAATTATTTAACATGGAAAGTTCAATAGCTTTCGTCTTCCCTGTAAATGTATGTAAAATATAACTATTAATGTACTTATTGTTCTTATTGCTTTTATAATAAATAATAAATAAATAAATAACTATTTCAGAGAGGTTAATTTAATTGATGTTTATGTTATTTTTGACTGTGTAACTCCAGATATACTTTGTTGGTTGTATACTTACTGTTTCAGTACATGTTGAGACTGAATCTAGTGCTTTTTACTATAAGAAGTGTATGACCTCATCTCTTAACAAATAGTTAAGGTGTGTGTCTCGATTTACATTATATGAAGTACTGAACAATTCAAAATTAATAAAATTTACATCTGCTATTTTTACACAAGCATACCTAGTTCCATCTTGCTGAAGGCTCAATGAGTTTTGAATGGCTAGAAATGACAGCAAAATTTAATCCATATATAGCTGTTTTCACATTCATAATGACTGGATTTTCTAGAAAATAGTTAGTAATTTAGGATACTTATTTCTCAAGCAAGCGAGCTTTAGAAAGTGCCAGTGACTGGCAGTCTAACTGTGATGACATCCAGTCTTATCTTTGCTTTTGATAGGTGTCAATAAGAGAGGAATTTCCCTCTGTCTGGAAAGTGTTATGGTGGCATAAAATCATCTGTTTCACAGAAAATCTCAGGAGTGTCATACATTTCTTTCTGACTTTTAAACACATCAGGGGCATGGATGTTTTGAGCCATCTTTTCTTACAAGATGCAACATTTTTTATTTTAGTGAATAACACCATTTTATCTGCTGTTTTTCTGAGCTTGATTCCTTTCAAGATTTCAGTCCTCCAAACAGGTTCACACCATACAATGTCTTGTTTATGTGCAAGCTCCAAGAGCAGGATGACATAAAAAATTCTAAAACTCCATATCTATATTATACAATTTCAATCTCTGTTGCCTCCCTGCTGGAAGTACAAATGAGTATTCGGTACACATTAAAAAGCAAACACTCATGCCTACTTATATCTCAGGATACTCCATATACTCAGCAGATGAAGTTATCTGACTCATTTTGTTTCTTTGGTTCTTAATATGACCTTTGATCTTCCCAAATACTGACAAACACTATGCCAGAACAATACTCTGATTCCTAAGGGATGAAACCACAAATGTTACCAAACTGTTACAGGTGCCTCCTCTATCCCACAGGATGTCCAAGGCAGCACTATTTGCATTGTTTGCTCATCTCAGCAGGACTTGTAGAGACTGACAGGATTTCTCATCTCGCCCTAGGCTGCTGTTGTTCTCCCTCTCCTAGGCAAAGGGGATCTGCTATACCTGGAGAGGTTGAAAGAAGGTGTTTTCTGAAAGTCTTTGGGTGCTGCAAGAAGAGTGAGGGTGAAAGTTTTTGGGTGAGGGGATGCTGGGGTAAGCCATGTGTAGGGATGCAAGCATCATCTTCCTCTTAAGTTCATTCCATAAATAAAACTGCAGTGCAATTTCAATGGTCTGCTGATATCAGGGTATCTGGGAGCAGCAGGGAGGAGATGGAAGTGATTGGAGTCAAGGAGGAAAGAAAGGAGAGAAGCCTGACTCAGCTCAACTCAGCTGATTCAGATTTATTCCTAACTTTTAAAAGTATCTAAATACTTGATTATTAAACATTTCTGGTACAAATGCTTTTGAAAGGTCACATTCCTCCAGTCATTGTTATCTCTATCCAACACTAATGAGCAAACAAGAGAGAAAAAAAAAAAAACACAAAAGAAAAATTAAAAAAAAAAAAAATCAAAGAAACATAAACTAACTCTTTCCCCTCCCCTCAACTCACAAATATTAAAGAACTTAAAGGAAAAAAGTCCTTAATTAGAAAGTTTCTGTTTGCTTCCCCTCATGCTCAACTTCCAACATGCTGCTACTGTCACATATGTATTTACACCCTGTAAAATAATGAACTCACGTAACAAAATTATTATCAAAGCAGTCCTATTTTTCTAATTGAGTGTATGCTAAAAGTCCAGAAAAGCTAAACCAAATTTTACTGATATTCATATAAGATCCAAATCCATTTTAGGAATGGATAAAAATTATTGATATTTACATGGGTTTCTTAAGTAACCAGTATTATTTTTCCTTACAAATTCATTTCAGAAACATAACATTCCAATAGTATGTTAACAGAAGGAATTAGCCTGCAGTATTGAAAAGAAGAGGACTGAAAGGGTCCTTCAACAATAAATGAATGTACCCATGTTCAAACAGTGTTTAGGACCTTGAAACCTCACACTGCCTTAGTGTGCATTAGAAAAAAATTCTTAACAATATATTTATAACAGGAAACTTGAGTACCAAAAAGTTGCCTCAAAAGAAGCAAAAACAAATAGTAAATTTTCTGAGTAATGACTCAAGTTACAAAAGCTCACTAGCATCATCTGGAAAAATACCAATATAAATATATATTTTGGATTTACTACTGATGGTATTAAATTACATTTCTAAACATAAATTTAAAAATTGTCATAGGTCACAATCTCCTCAAAAGTAAAAATCAAAAAGACCTAGCAAAATCCAACAGTTTTTCTCAATGTTTAAAATTCAGATTTTGCCATAGCAATAAAATAAACTATTTTATTTTAGGTTTAGACATGGGCACATACATATAGAAAGATTTATTTATTTATTATGCAAAAAATTATAATTTCAGCTACAAATTTTTCAATATATTATTAGTCTTAGCACATTTACAGGATTCTGGTTGTATAAATTGCAAGTACACAACAAGTTAACAATAGGATTTTCAATATTGGGTCAGTTTGAAATTACAGGACAACATATCAGTAGTAAACCCACCAAAAAAAAGAATTGTGTTGATGTATTCTTTTCCAGATGTTACCAGGACAACTTTGCAAGTATAAATTCCTATAAAGAACATTTCTATAGAGATAATTTTAGACCTTGACTTTGAGCTACAGAGAGTTTGTCTTTTGAAAATCAGAATTATCTGTAGGAGATTAATTTGTTTCCCATTACAGTTTCAGATTTCTTCTTCATCCATAAAATTAACTGCAGTGAACTTCCAGGAGTAAAAAGCTGTCTTTTTTCAGGCTTGAATAAGAGGAGAAATAGTCACTTGTCCTGAAATCTGGCTACAATTAAACACATTGAAGAAAAATTAAAAGCTGTAAATGTAAAACTTTGGAGATTTTGCTGTCATCCTTTGTTATACAAATACTTAACTATAAGAATAAAAAATAACTATGCATCACCTACATTTCACTAAACATCACAAAATGTTCAAAGTATTATTTAAATAGACCATAATATAAAATAAACAGGTAATGACAATATTTACCTTTTCCAACTGGGCATTTTTTTTTGATTTATACAAAAACTCCCCAACTGCCACAAAGACAGAAAGCACCAATCCTGCGGCCAGCACGATGAAGATTCCTCCAATATTCTGGACTCCCAAAGCACTGGCCTCTTTACTTTCCTCTTCTGGGCAACCATTGCCTCTCCACCATTTCTCTTTCATCATGTGGAGCTTGCCTTCTTCCTGCAGCTGAAGAATCGCTATGGTGATCTTGTCTCTATACGGAGAACCTGAAGAGAACACAGGGAAGAAATATCGCATGGAATATATTAAATGAAATGTTTGTTATTCCAAATAAGAATAAATAATAACTCAAGAAAACTATATCTTTAACAGCCATAATATTAGTAAAAAAACCATTTGCTTCTCGAGACAATCACACTGGTCACATAAATACAAACCTGCTTGCTCACACAAATATATATCCAGAAAACTTGATCCAGCTGGTGCTTCCAGTAAGCCATGCCACTTGATGCAACAATTCCTATCACATTTACTCCCATGTTCTCAAACTTCTTCATGCCCAAATATTATACTCAGTCAAAGAGTATTCTTTCAATTTTTTCAATTTTTTCCCAATAAGTTTTTAAATGGGCTTCATTAGATTTAGTTTAATATATGTAAATCTACAGGATGTTGCTTCATAGCTCGTTATCATAAAGCTAATAGAAGTTCTGATATTTACCGAATACTTCATCCTGTCATTTTATTAAATGAGGGAGAAACAATTTATGCGTCAGGTCCAACCCACAACAGTCTTGATTTGATAGATTTTCATGCACTTAAAACACCTTTCAGCATGCACTTACTTATTAACAGTACCAGGTAGCAAGAATTCAGAAGGATAATATTCAGTGTTTGGATATCAGGGATGTATAGTCTCATATTTTGATGTATTTCTTTCTCATAATTAATTGTTTTAAAATTACATTATAATTTTGTAGCTTTTGAACATTTAAAAATTTAAGGGGTAGTTCAAAGGCTGGTGTCACATCTTTGTATGTAATCTGTTCTCTTTTTCTTTACATTGTGCATAAGGGCTTCTCAATGAGTATTTTAAAATGTAAAATGATAATTGAATAATGGAGATGAAGAAGGCTTTTATTTTCTGCATGTTAGAGAGTAAATCGTGTCTGTTAGAAGTGCTTTCTCTGTTAAGACTTGTGCAATGTTTAAGTAGAGAACAAAGCCATCATTTTTCTTGTCCTTTGAAAACAGGAACAAAAGACTCTTCATTAAAGTGGTTAAGAAATCTCAGGAAAGGAAGAAAAAGAGTAGATGAAAAGGCATGGTATCCCCTCTTTCTGCTCATATCAATGCAATTCTATAATGCATCCCTCCTCTTTTTCTCTCTATCATAATAATGCTACTTACTGGTTATAGACTTTAGGGTTTCTTTCAGCTGAGTAATAAAATGCATATTCATTAACTTTTTACCTTTGAAAAAAAATCCTCTGTATCTGCTAGAGAGATGCTGCCTGTTTAACTATTTAATGCACTGTGATCAGCTGTGAGGAACTGAAGAAATGCATGGATAAGATGTTTATAGTCTTAAAACTGTTGGAAAATATGTATACTTTTTTAACTTATTCTATATTTCTTCAAATTCTTTTTACATATGTAGAACTTATTTTGAGAAGAAAGCTTATAATAAAGAGCTGCTGTGCCAGTATAGAACATAGAAAGAACTAATTACAAAATGCAAAAGCACCTTTTCCTTTATTCAAGAATAAAAGGTGTGAAGAGCCAACCTCAAAGTATTTAAATTGCAAGGACTTGTGCATTTACCATCTATACTTAGAAAAGGACGATGTTTTGTGCTGGGAGGTAAACTGTGTTTGCACTGGACTATATGGGAAGCATAAAGAAAGGAAAACAAACTCTCTTCTACTCCCTTGTGCATTCAGGGGCCTGAGTCACATCATTTCAGACCATCCTGATTATGCTGGAGGTCTCAAACCCTACTCTTGGCATGTTGCTTCAGTCGGATGGAAGAAGGAAGTGATTAGTCCACAAGAGCCTGGGGAAGTGTAAGTGCATTCTGTAATCTTTTGGGGATATTTTCAACATTACACTGCATATAAATATTTAACAACAACAACTTAAATAACATTCGATTCAGAGAAATAGTCTTGGACTCAGTTTAAGCTGTCTTCTGATCTGACAGGCTGCTTTCTAATTAAACTGATTTGCATTTTGTTTCCACACTCTCTGTTGGTCTAAATATAGTGAGTACCATCTATTCTTCATGTATTATTTATATTTTCTGGGGATCAGATTTTTACACTTACAATTCTAGTCTATTTGAACAAGTTAAAAAATTAACTTGTTCAAATAGACTAGAAATTCACAGACAGAAACAATAAAGCATGGGCTAATACAGTCTACAATTAGTTAAGTTTATGAAGGTTGCATTGGAAACACACAGATAACAGTGATTCAGTACAATAGTAATTGTAATATTATTTGTGGCTTGCAAAGTTTTGCACAAATAATTCTGGAATGGATTACAGGGCCTTTCTACTGCAATGTTAATATTTGTTTATCTTATTATCCTGTCTAAGAAGTGATCCTGTCACAAGTCAGGATCGATGTGGGATGACAGGCATCATATATTGCTGCTGTTAAATCAAGCATTTAAAAATGTATACCCATGAAAAAGCTGGCATTGAATGCTGTAGTTCTATTCTAATTCTGAAGGACTTAGAATGTTCTAAATTCATAGGTTTTCGTTTTGTAGCAAATATTGAGTACACCTAATGATCTGATACTTTGAGAAAAGGAATTTTTAATTCTTTTTATACTGACTCAAGTAGCCCTTAAGAGAACAAAGGAAGCATATGAGCAATATTATTTCCTCTGACCAGATTTTCTCCTAGCTTTTTTTCTCTTACGAACAGGACTGTAAGTCCCAGCAATGGAAAATCCACCCAAAAGCACCTGAAGTGGCTAAAAGTCCCACAGACTGATCTGTGAATGACATTGGTATCATAAAAAAGAAAGAAGCAATAAATAGAGAATGTGCTCAAGGCACCCAGATTACACTCTGGATGTAACAGCTGCTTTTTCCTGCAGAAATGAAAAATGTTAGCAAGTAAATGCAAAAGATTTCTGACATTTTACGGTAATTTTCTCTATCACTTTCATCACATGACTGAAAGATGTCTCAAGTCCTACCATGAGGTGTTGCAAGAAGCACACGTCCTGTTTTTTACATTTTTAAATCTAAAGTGTTTAATATAATTTTATTTAAATCCTCATTAAAGAGAATTTAGTGTTCAAAACAAAAACAAAAAAGCCATAAAAGCAAAATAGAAACTCTAATACTCACAGTCAATATATATGAATGAATTTTCAAAATACCTACAGTATTGAATATGAATAAGAATGAAGCAATAAAGCATAAGGAAAAAAAAAGAAAGAAAAATAAAAGAAAGAGAAGGAAATAGGAACATGAGGAAATAGAAACTTCACATCTCAACCTTTAATACAAAGAAAAAGCAGCTGAAAAAAACCCCAGTCTTACAAGCCTGTGCATGGCGGGAAGACAGGGAGGGAAAAAAGAGTGATTTTTAAAATGCTCTTCCAAAATCAGGGGAAAAAGTCAGTGCATAATCTTCCACTGAGTGAAGAGAAAGGCAGAAGACCAGTATGGAAATATTTGACTTTTTCTCTCCTCTCTTTTGTTGGTTTCTACCTCTTTTGTTTCCCTATCAACTCATTATTTATTACCATGAAAAACTGGGGCTGGAGGATCTACAGAATATAATCTATAAATTATCTACTGATCCTTCTCTGGCTCCTGTTTGCAGGAATGAGAATTTCTGCCAGAATAATTTTAAGCCCTTCTGTTATAGATTATAGGGGTGTTTCTTCCTTCCTACACAAGTTCAACAACCTCAATAGGGGAAGCAATAATTTCTAATTGCAGTTACCTACTTACAAAAGTTTAAACTAAAAATGAAAATTTGCATAAAACACCTTTTTCTAAAGCATCTCTACAAAACTAACAGTCTCCCAGAGTTACTGCAGAAGTTATACATAGACATGTTTTCTGCCCTGAAGTCTCAATATGTAAAGATTTATGCACATAATGATATGTTTAAACATAAATTATGAACACATAAGATTTTTATATTGAGGCTGCACTGCTTGTAGTTTAGTATTTTGAAATTCTGCTGATCTAACTGGTTTTGAAAAAGCTTCCTACTAGATTTTAACTTAGTAAAATCTCCTGCCTGGTTACTCTTAGTCTGTTTTACTCATTCTATCACATGAAAGCTGTTGGAGCATATTGGGACTTGTAGAACTGATTTTGTCTTTAAGTAAATCAAAAGGAAGAGCAGCATTCTGCTAACTCCTTCAGTAAGAAAATTTTGAGCCAGGAAAGTTTTTGTTCCATTGAGCCAGGGGCACTTTACCAAAAGGAATGACTATGAATTGCCTATGCTTTTAAATATGCCCACGGGACATTTCTACATGTTATTTTTGATTTTCTAGATAGGAAGAATACATTCTGAATACAAAGTGATAGCATCTTTTATTTCTGTTTTTTCTTTTGTTATTAGTAGTCCCAAGACAGTTCTATTTATCTTGCAACATTATTTCTATTCTGTGTACTTGGCCTAATCAAAAGACAAAGGTTGTTAGGAATACACCATCATATTCAGAATGTAGGTACAAAATTAATATAATTTAGAACTTCTTTCAGTAGAATGGGAGAGTTATGTCTTATTTGTTTTGAGTTTGTTTTTCAGCATGAACCCATTCCTATTGTGATTATGCCACCTTGATCTATCTGTCCTAAAGATAGTCTGTGTGTAAATCACAATCTCACTCCAGTTAAGCATGACTGAAATTTCCATAAGAATGCTGATTAACACCATTTATAGTACTGGGAATGGGTGAATCGTTTAAGTTTTAGCTTAGCAACATCTCTCTTATCTAATCACTTAGCCCTACCAAGAACCACAAGCTAAATCCTGTGCCACCAAACTGCTTGTGTGCTTAGTCATATCATACTTGAAAGTTTTGGGGTTTGTTTTGCTCTGTTATCTCCGATCATCTGTTACTGTGGTAAAAGTTTTCTTTTACTTTTACAAGACAAAATTCAGCTCAGTCCTTTGGAACAGACAATCCTTCCTGGGAGACAGCTGGCCACACACTATGTGGAGTTCAGTTTCTCACAAGGGTCATGCATACTGCAGTCATAGGCAGGACAGAAACAACA